CAAGGCATCATCATCATCGGTAGATTGTCTACCATTTGCACGATCTATTTAAGTTAATTTGCAGTCGAGACATAGCCCCGGGGAATCTATCAAATTATAGCTAATTATTTTCGATAATTATTTAGTTAAAACCCCCCCATGGGACAACGCATACTGTTGACTGGTGATAGTTCACATGAAATCCCAGATCCCAGATCCCAGCTCCCAGAGCAATGTGTCAATCTCTTGGCCCCCAAAACACGTCAGCAGGCGGTGGTCCTTGCCAGCCCAACAAAATCCCCCACGCTGATGTGATTTTGTTTTTTATGTTTCGGTTTGTTTGTCGCACGTGACGCAAAATCGCGAGAGAAAAAACAAACAAAAAGTGTGTGATAAAGAAACCATAAACAGAAAAAACCAAAACAAAAATGCGAACGAGGCGAGTCGCGCGGCTATTTTGCATATTCAAATGAACAATTTTAACTGCTAAATGCGGAGCGATACGAGATGAACGAAGAGATACAGATGCCAGCCGATACCAGCCATAGCCGGCGTCATCTTTGGCCCCCAGGTGAATCAGCCAGAAACGAGTTCGATATGGCTTAGAAAGCGACAGCCGGTGGAGCGTACGACGTCGTCGTCCAGTCTCTCTGTGGCATGTGATTGATACATCAGCGTTGTGTTGTGTGGACTCCCCCTGACAGCTCATCCACATGGACACTGCTCCACTCCACCCCACGCCGTTTTGGGTGGCATTTGGGAAAGCAAAACCTCAATATTATACAATAATTAGCAACGAAAACGATTGCCATTTGTAATTAATGCACATAATTGCCCTCTAGAATGGAAAAAAATTAAATATTGAGCATTTTTGAAATGGATTCGTAATTGTATTATTAATTGCACTTAATTGAATTATGAATAATATTTGATTTGCTTTGAGTTGCTTTCAATTGATTCATAGGAAGTGGAGTCCCTGCAACAGATTCACTTTATTCTCGGAAGTTTTCAGCAAGGGCACATGACGAGGGCTGGGAAATCACTGGGAGCTGCTCAGCGGCAAGGCTGCAAGATTATGGGAAATGCGAAAAGTGGGAAATGAAACGCAGCTGGGAAGGTTGAAAAAAAAAGTTGTGGTCTGTGGGTAGGAGCATCTGGGGTAAATCTGCGGCTGTGTTTTCTCACTGAATTATGTGCGGATTTATGTGGAAAACATGACTATAAGCAGCATACAAATCTAAATATGTATTATACATTTTACAACCAAGTTCTCTCCATAATTTATGCTAAATTTTCAGCAATCTTTCCTACCGCTCCTCATCTAACCATTCTGCTATTTATCTACACTTTTATCTACATTTTTATTCTATTTCTATTAGCCCAACAGCACTCCGGCTTTCTCAATTCTCAGACGAATCCAATGGCCAACAGGAACTGCTTTCGCCGCAGCGTTTTTTGGCCATTTCATGCTGACAATTATGATCGATGGAATGGCTACAAAAAGAAACAAAACTGTACATCGATGCCCCCCCACCAACTGGACTACGTGACTGAATCAAACTTAAATATTATCTCTTTTTTTTTGTATTAGAACAAAGCCCTCCATCTGTGTTTTGTGTGTGTGGCACAGTAGAAATCAAATAAAATCCGCTAAAGGTTTTGCCGCCTGTGAAATTATTTTTAATTATAGAATCTAATTTGTTTGAAATGCTCTTTTATATCTTTTATTTCTTTTTTTTTTACTTTGATGATTGATCATTAGGTCTAACCGAAAAAAGTAAATCCGTCTTATGTAACAAAAGTAAAAAATTGCAAAAGCTAAAAGCTAATAAAAATCAGCGACCTTCAATCTGCGAGCCAAATTCATATACAAACTCAAATCAAATTCTCAAAGGAGCCATTTCGAAAAATTGATTGTTTAAACAATTCAACAAACAAAGAGAGGGAGAGAGATAGATCGGGGGGGAGATCGCTGGTAGTTTTGCTTCACTTATTATGGTTTTGATCATGAGACTTCAAATAAAACAAACAAACTGGTTGACCAAAACTCCACTCCCCAAAGGGGTTTGGAGGGGAAATCTCTCGCCTAGAAACGGAGGGCTAGTCAACCGTTAAAGGTTCACGGTCAAGGACAAGGAAATCCCAGTGAATGGTTTGGATATCTCTGCTGTAGCTGCCTACGTGTCTAGAATGCCATGAATCACGATTCTCCAGCTACAGCTACAGCTACAGCTACAACTCCCCTTACCCAACTCCAGCTTTAGCAGCACAATTTTGTGACTTCTGGAACCTTGGCCGTGTGTGTGTGTGTGTGTGTGTGTGTGTGTGTTTGCCGTCTTATAACTCGAACGAACAACTTTAGCATGAGCAAGCGTGCACAATTAAATTTAAATATTTAATAAAAAAAAGAGACTTTAGCAACAATTATAGAGGCTCAATTATGCAGCAGCCAGGCCCAAGCCAACAGCCACCAGCCAGCACACAAAGAACGAACAATCGTCGAGAACTACTCGAGTCGGAAGAAAAGTTTGCCCATTAAGATACACATTTTGCATGCTTTGAGCTGAAACCTTAAGCTCCAATTAAAGTTTTTGATTGGCAGTGCCTAAAACGAGTGCAACGCAGTGCAAATCGGAAGTAAATGTTTAGAGCGAATGGAATGGAGTGAATGGAATGGGGCGGGCGCAATGCTAATGTGAGAACCGAACCTGATCCAATATGAATCAATGAGTAATGTGGGAAATCAAAGCAGCCTTAAACGGGGGAAATCTTAGAGCAGGGAATTGTGAGTGAATTTATATTGTGTTTCCCGCTTTCAATGCTCCTTTGACTTATATATTTTTGCAACCAAAAGATGAACTTCTCTGCGTTCTCCTGTCACTCCACACACACCTCCCACAGCTCCTGCTCTCGCCTTTATATTTTCCCTTAACTTGTCGCACATTTTCCTGCTTACACAACCAACCACAACCAATTGAGTCACAACATCCCAGTTATACAATGCAATTTGTATAATGAATCTATCAGCGTTAAATGATTATGTTTCTTTTTTTGTGTGTATGCCTTCTCCTCGCTGCTGGATAATCTATTAAATTTAATAACTTAATGCCGCTGAGTGATCGAATCGTCGCAGATCGCAGATCGTAGCATGACGATGATGTGTTGGCTCATTATCGGCTCGTTAGCGATCTACTAATTTGAACGGTTTGCATTAACATTAGACAGACATTAGTTGGAGTTTGTTAGTTAGTAGCTGCAAGGATGACCAGATTGTTGCAAGTACAAGTGCACAAACACATACACATGTACATATGTTTGCATGTAGATCAATGGCAAACCGAGTTTGGTTAAGCCCCTGCGACTGCCACTGCCACTGAAAATGTAATGTCATTCAGTTGCCGAGCCAAGACCAATTTGAGAAGCGGTTTCCAGCCTTGATAGCGGGAGCGGCAGCCGCGTTATCAGCTTACAGGAATATATAATAATACTTCTCATACCTCCACCCCTCGCTAGTGTTTGTTTTTCGATCTGATTTGTCAGCTGCCATATGCAAATTTCATTCACCAGATGTTTTCACACGGCAGTCACTTATTTTTTTATTGATCTAGTTATAGAATTGTTATGGCATCCAATGGCTTAGTTTAATGTCGCTACACTTACACACTTACGCATGCAAATTAGCTGCTAAATATGCTCTTAAATATATTAATTATAATGGCGTGCGAGTGCCAGCCGCCTACTCAGCCGCCCAAGCACACACAAACAGAACACACATTGAGGCCCACTTCCTGTTTACCACAAGTTTTGCTTTTTTTTCTATTGACTTTCACTTTGGACCGTCCCCAAATGATCCGCTTTTGTATCCGCCACAGATGTGTTCTTAAAGTTTTCTGGAACTCGGCGTTGATTCATTCAGGATATGGTGACATTTTTCAGTGTCACTTTTGAGGCATTTTATTTTAAGTCTTTCCTGAGGTATTTGCAGCATCTAAGAACATTTTTGAGGCATATTTTTCCAGGATTTAAACACAGTTTTCATTGATAACTTTTGTTCTTTTGTTTCTTTCTTTTGTGTTCCTAAATGATTTGTGATTGTATCCGCTCCGGCATGTGGTCTAGCACTTGATCCGCATTTGTATCCGCTCCAATTGTGAGCTGGTAATTGTTGAGTCATTGATAACTTTTTCATTGAGAACTATTGGCATTTAGCAAAGGTTTTTCCTAAATTTCTTATTTTATTTGTTTAAAAATATTCTGTATTAAAAAGGTGAATTAATGTTCAATCAAAGAACTAAACCCGTTTTTGGGGTATCATCAACTTTAAGCGGCACTTTGTAGTGTTAGAGAACTGTACCTCTCTGAAAAATCAAAATATTTTGATGCTGCTTTGCTTCTGTTTCACTTTGCTTTGGTAAGTCCCCCCTCAGGATCTGTTGTTGGTTCATTCATAACCCATTTTAGCTTTCGCTTCTTGTGGTATTCCAATTTGCTTTTGGCTTTTCTGGTGACGCTTGAGACAATTCCAAATGTTTTGGTTTATTTCAAATGGTTGGACTGACGCGCGCACGCGCTAATGGTTTAACCCCGCTCCAGCAGCAGAAAAAGCAACAAAAGCAACCACAATAAAAACACCACTCTATACATTCTAGCCTGTTGCCGCACTTGAACTTGGTCGAGTCAGGCAAAACGATTCTCGACCCACTGCCAAATGGTGAGAGAAAACCCCACGGCACGACGGCGGAGCAGCGACAGCGACAGCAGCAGCAACCACAAGAGCAATAAACCAGATACAGCTGTGAGGCTGCTGTATCTCTCTCTCTTTTTCTCTCTCTCTCTGTCTTACTCTCTTGGAGCAACTACGTCACAGTCGCGTCATGCGAAAACCAGTCATCGGATTCGACGTTGTCGTTTCTCTGTGTACTGCCCATCGCTGCTCGTCGTGTGGCGGCCCTCGGCATCGTTTGGCCCGTTCGGCAATTTGGTTTTGCCGGACTCTGGGGAGTATTTAAGCACTGGCAACACCACCTGGAGCATGCATTGATTAGCTATCATCCGCTCTAAAGACTTGTGCCCAGCCTCAAGTAGTTTGCTGACTCTGTTTGTTGTAATACAATTAGCTGAAAAAGGATATAAACCAAGAACCGTCATAGCAGTTTCGAAGTCGCGAAAGGATCCAACACACACAAAAAATCTACCGACACAAATATATCCGCCGTGAATCGAGAGTTCTTGTTCATTCAGCTCAATTCTAGACGCAAACAGTTCAGTTCCAGGAGCGTTTTTCTACCCAGCCACACAAATAAGCAGTGAAAGTGTCAATACATTTCGAGTGCTTATTGCCAAATCAAAGAAAAAACAACTGAAAAAAATCACCAACGCAAGCAAATAGTATTCCAAGTGTTTACACTTTGCATAAATTTTTGTTCTTCTTAAATAATCACAAAAAACAAACAAAACACAAAACAAAATGATGGCCGTTGCAGCAGCCCAAAAGAATCGCGAGATGTTCGCCATCAAGAAATCATACAGTATTGAGGTGAGTCCACAGTCCCACACTCCCAAAAGAAAAGCCAAGAAAAACAAACAGAGAAACGTATTTTGGTGCTGGTCTACGTGACTAGTTAAAGGTTTATTTTTGAAAAACCTGTCGCCAAGGCATTTCTTATTTTGATTTTTTTCGCATAATCCGAGCCCAAAGTTGGTCTAAGAACGGTGTGGCCCAATTGGAAATGGCAGCCTGCCACCCAAACACGTAAACGTCGCCCAAGACGGAGCGGCCTCTGATTATCCCCAAGTTATTATTTAACAAATAAGTGAAAGTCTTGCCCCTGCACTTACCCAAGAGACAGAGAGGCGCGCACACACCAGACAGAGGCTGCTCATTGTTGACTCCAGCTTGGAGTCGGTCTGCCTGTTTATGTTTATGTTGCGGCAACAGTCCCAACAAAAACCGACAAAATATGAAATCAATAAAAATGATTCAATGGAAGGCAACATCTTTCATCAGCCAAAACCAACCAAAAATCGATGGACCGAAAAACAACAACGTCCCGTCCAGTCCCAACTTCAGCAAGTGAAAACTGCAACTGGTGGCCTGCATTTTTCCACTCCATTCAGAGATAGAATCGTATTGTATATCTTTTCCGCCATATATCACTTATACTTGGCACCTGCCAACGGCTCTGAACGAGCGTCAAAGCCCCCCCCCGTGTGACATCGCATTAAATTAGCATCACAAACGATGGAGCTTTATGAATAGCGTTGGCCCCCAGCTAATGGCCAAAAGAAAAAAGATCTGAAGACGCTTTCACGCCAGAGACACACACACTATTTTTTTTATATAAGAGTCAAGCCCCCTACCCTCTGCCATGGTCCAACAATTGCGCAATGTCGCCACAGAGACACAAACACAGCAAAGGTCAAGGCAATCATCCAATTTCCGTTGCATATCCTGACTGTCTCGCTCCCTCTCTCTCTTTTCCCGGAAAGTGTCTAAAACTAAAATGAAAAATCTCTTTTTTTGTCATCTTTCAGAATGGATATCCATCGCGCCGCCGCAGCCTGGTGGACGATGCCCGCTTCGAGACTCTGGTGGTCAAGCAGACCAAACAGACCGTCCTGGAGGAGGCGCGCAACAAGGCAAATGGTAAGCAAAGTCAACATTTGTGGCAACAAGTGGTGGGGCAAAACACTCTTCAAGTGGTGGAGATTTCAGTTTAAAATTCAATTTTTTGCCTTCAGTTTATTCTTTATTTTATTTACTATTATTTCCCCTTTTATTTATTATTATTTTCCCTTTTATTATTATTTTCTAAAGACGCTTCTCTGGAGGAGTGCATTCAGCAAGCCCAGGAGCACATCCCAGCTGAGCAGAATGTGGAGCTGCAGGATGACCAGCCGCACCTCGAGAACCTCGAGTTGCCCATGGAGAATGAATACGTTCCAGGTGCTTATTACCCCTGCCCACCTCCCTTTATTACCGCTCTTTTGATTTGGAATTTGATTTTAATTTTATGATTTTTTTCGTTTTGATTTCTTTTTATTTAGTTGAAGATTTTGAGATTGAGAGCGCTGAGACGCAGCAGTCGCAGGAGCCAGCGGGCCAGGCGCCCAAGAACGGTAAGCCCCCCAGTCACACCCTCCCCCCCTGCTGCCTTAAGTAGTACTTAACTTCTGAGAAGCTTTTGAAAAGCGTGCGACATTGATTTAAGTGCTTAATATGATAAAGTACTAGAGAAGAGAGAGAAAGGAATGGCAAGGAAAAAGAAAGAGCAAAGCACTCAACCGAACCGAACGAACAATTGCTGTGGAAGGAGTGGAAATGTCGTCGCATTTCCCTTTTTCATTTGTTACGCTCGACTTGATGGAAATATGAAATCCCCAGCCCTGCCAGCCACAACGCCCACACGTAGTCCCCGATTATCGTTTACGTGACCTTAAGCCGCTTGCCGTCTGCCGTCTGTCGTCTGCCTCATGATTGCATCTTTTTGGTTTTTTTTTTCCTACTTGCAGATTACGGTCTTACCGAGGAAGAGATTTTATTGGCCAATTCCGCTTCAGAGTCGCCGGAGGCTGAGGCAGCCATGCAGAGCGCCGCCTTGGTGGTGCGCCTCAAGGAGGGCATCTCGTCGCTGGGCCGCATCCTGAAGGCCATCGAGACCTTCCACGGCACCGTGCAGCATGTGGAGTCGCGTCAGTCGCGCGTCGAGGGCGTCGATCATGATGTGCTCATCAAGCTGGACATGACACGCGGCAATCTGCTGCAGTTGATCCGCTCGCTGCGTCAGTCGGGCTCCTTCAGCAGCATGAATCTGCTGGCCGAGAACAACATTAGCGTGAAGGCGCCTTGGTTCCCCAAGCATGCCTCCGAGCTGGATGACTGCAACCATCTGATGACCAAGTATGAGCCAGATCTCGACATGAACCACCCCGGATTCGCCGACAAGGTGTATCGTCAGCGTCGCAAGGAGATTGCCGAGATTGCTTTCGCCTACAAGTACGGAGATCCGATCCCATACATCGCCTACACCGATGTGGAGGTCAAGACCTGGCGCTCGGTCTTCAAGACTGTGCAGGATTTGGCCCCGAAGCATGCCTGTGCCGAGTACCGTGCCGCCTTCCAAATGCTCCAGGACGAGCAGATCTTTGTCGACCATCGTCTGCCCCAGCTGCAGGAGATGTCTGACTTCCTGCGCAAGAACACGGGCTTCTCGCTGCGCCCCGCTGCCGGTCTGCTGACCGCTCGCGACTTCCTCGCCTCCCTGGCCTTCCGCATCTTCCAGAGCACCCAGTATGTGCGCCACGTCAACTCGCCCTACCACACCCCCGAGCCGTAAGTATCTTCCCCCCACAAGCTAACATCAAAGGGTGCAGAAAAAAGCTTTTTGTTCGCTCCTAATTGCATTTGGCCTGGCAATGGCGTTGGGTTTCCTGCCTCCAGCTTCCTGCTACCAACTTTTCTCTTGTTCAACGGAGAAGCAAATTGGCTGCAGGAAGCAGGACACCCATCTGCTCATTTTGGCCTGGCTAATTGCTTTATGTGCGCTTACAATTTTCCACACATTTTCTAACCATTATTTTCTCTTGCCTCCTTCCAGTGACTCCATCCATGAGCTGTTGGGACACATGCCGCTGCTGGCCGATCCCAGCTTTGCCCAGTTCTCGCAGGAGATTGGTTTGGCCTCACTGGGTGCCTCCGATGAGGAAATCGAGAAGCTGTCCACTGTCTACTGGTTCACTGTTGAGTTTGGTCTCTGCAAGGAACACGGTCAGATCAAGGCTTATGGCGCTGGTCTCTTGAGCTCCTACGGCGAGCTGTTGCACGCCATCAGCGACAAGTGTGAGCATCGCGCTTTTGAGCCAGCCTCCACGGCTGTGCAGCCCTATCAGGATCAGGAGTATCAGCCCATCTACTATGTGGCCGAGAGCTTCGAGGATGCCAAGGACAAGTTCCGTCGCTGGGTCAGCAGCATGTCTCGTCCCTTCGAGGTGCGCTTCAACCCACACACCGAGCGCGTTGAGGTGCTGGACTCTGTGGACAAACTGGAGACTTTGGTTCACCAGATGAACACGGAGATTTTGCACCTGACCAATGCCATTCACAAGCTGAAGCGTCCCTTCTAGAGTGAAGCAAGAGGAAGTGGTATCCAAGCTGTCCAAAACTGCACCCAACCCAGCACTGTCCCCGCAGCATCCCCACGCCCCACTCACATACAGGTGCAACGGTCTCATCTTATACAAATTAATTTTAAATTGACATACCGCACACAATCCCTTTCCCCTCTCCACCCTCTCCGTACCTGAAATCCCACGACAATTCAGGGCATCGCATATTATTTTTTTATGTTTTTGTTTTTTTTTTAATTTTATTTTGGTTTTCATTTGAAGTTCTGTTTTTGTCTCTGTCAAGAAAAAGCATATTTATTTTATTTTGATCATCCAAAAACCCTGTAAAACCCCGTCCTCTCCCCTGTATCACCACAACTATTATTGGACCAAAAAATCGTTAGACTTTTAAGTGATGTGAAAACAAAGCGAAGCCAAGCAAAAGCGAATTTCAGTGAAGTGAAAGCAAAGTTCAGATCTATCACACGGAAAACAGCTTATATACTCAGACACACATAATTGTTTTTTTGTATTATATTATACCCATTTTCACTCACTCTCTTCATAAATATTTACCTAAGCTATAAACCATATAGTATTGCCGGTATTTAAACAGAGAGAGAGAGCAAATCTTAAAGAGAAAACTCAACAATAGAACAGAAAGAAAAACACTCACAGGAAAAACAGCTAAAATGTGTAGAAAGAACAAAAGAAAAACAAATGGAAAAAAAAACAGAATAGAATTTCATTACATTGTACAATAACTGTAAACGACAACTATTGTGTACTATTATTATTATTATCTATTATCTATTATTATGCTTATGACTATTACGTATTGTATTGTAGGTATGTAGAGTTTAAATTCTATTATTTTATTTAAGTTTTGTGTATTAATAAAATATAAAATGCAATTGAAAAATAATTAACTCTTTGGTTTTTTATCATATTATTTCTTTGGTTCTTCAACTTTGGTTGCTTAGATTTTGATAATTTGGTTGTCTAGATTTTTATTTATCTTTCTAGCTTGAAACTCTAAAGTCTGATTCTGTTTAGGGAACATTTTATGACACGAAAAGGGAATATATTTATTTGAAATTTAAAGATATTGACTTAGAACTAGACGAAGATTATACATTTTTAGATCATTTATGTAAAGAAAAGGAATTGAACAATTTAATTTTAAGAGAGTGGAAAAAATAGAGGATGAATAAAGATAAATTAGAGGAATTGGAGTAACATGGAAAGAAAATAAGAAATATGTACATGGTAAAAAGAAACCTGAACAAATATTTACTGAAGGCAAAGGAAACTCTAAAGGAACAGCAGGATGGGAGTGCAAAAAGGAAATTGATAGAAAAGGAAGAAATATCTTCAAGCTATCGTTCTATATACAAACTTAATCAAATATTGAACTTAAAAATCAAATGAATAATCAAAAACCCTTGGACCAATATATACTATATATAAATTATACAAATTAAAAGTTATTTCAATCGAAAGTTTACCAGTAGATTCAGCATTGGAATTAAATTTATAACCTACTCGTATATGAAATTAAAGTTAATGTAGCGTAGCATTTTATTGTTATTGTTCAATGTAGTTGCAATTTGATCGAAAGCCAAACAAGTGTTAACCAAACTATAACTATTCATAATCGCATATTTATCAGAATATATTTAAACAATCGCAATGGCAATGCAGTTGGTACCCCACCAAAACAGGCGCAGTTGGCCCCCCCCCAAAACAGGCGTAGCTGGGTGGAGCTCTATAAGAAAGAAAAACGACATTTACAATTGGAGAATACAAAAGATTATTATTATGAAAAATTGTTGAACGTGCAGATCGAACTATTATAGCCATATATCAATATACAACTATGTAATCGCTATTCTATACAATTAAAGTCTGCATTAATAAAAGTTGAAAGCGTTTAAACTTGACCACAAAACCGAACGTGGAATGTACATAAATGGGTTCTTAAATCATAAGCACATAGCCCCGAGCTATGGCTCTTTTTTTTTTGTTTTAATTGGGAGCGACACGAGTGAAAGATCCTGTGGCCATGATTAGCCATGGCATCGGAATGGGGCCTTTCGATGGAATTGTTTTTATTATTTCTAATCTCAAGTTGAGAACTTATGCCAATTTATTTTAATTAGCCAGCTCTAGTGCTTAATTAGCGCTTAATTACACATGAGCAATCTGTAATTAGTGGCATAGAACTTTACTTATTAAGATTGGATTTAGTTTTTGTTGGTTATTTTTGTGTGTTGCTTGAAGATTATTTAACAAATATTTAAATGCACATTTGAACATTTTTGAGTGGATTATCAAAAGCGACAGCTGCTTGACAACATGACCTACCTCAGCCTATTTTTAATTTAGAAAGAAATATTGTAACACCTGAGCGTATTTATCATCTGGCAATTACAATACGAATACTTAAGTTTATATTGTGATATAATAATTGGCGCTGTGTGTGAATATTCTAATAGAACAGCAGCAAACATGGCAACAATTAACGGCTGCTGATCGAATGCAGGCGATATCGAGTGGACGGACTCCGTGGGAACGCCCACGTTGCGGTGCCTTAATTAAAATGAAATTAATATGAAATCCGAACGTTAAGGGTTGATGAATCGAAACTTGAATGCCCTCGCGCAGCTGCGCGTATCACTAAGTTGCACTTAAATAATCGCATAAACGAATAAATTATATTCATAAGTACACTAAATCTTTCAGTCGTTTGATGAACTGCAACACGTGGAATTTCAGAGGAAGTAAGGAAGTGTTTTGGCTGACTTTTGAGTGGATTAAAAGCGGTTTAAAGTTCGATTTGTTGTGGGTAAGACTTTGTAGTTCTTTGGCGATTTGCTCTTGGGTTCTTCCCTCCATAATTCACAAGCTGCATGGCTCATTGGCTATACCCTGTCTGGCACTTTGCCATAGCTAATGACATTTGATAAATCTCCATTGTGGCATTTGATTTTATATGAAAATCGAATCAAATGAGATGCCGGCTAAGGCTAGTTAACAGGTGGAGGAGGGAGGCATTTATCAACTTTAGTTGGCTGATTGTCTGACTGATTTGGGTCAGACTTTAAAGCCTGCCTGGGCCAGCCTGGTCTGCTACTTTGTGCTGTATTTGATGGGTGTAAACATTTGCACTTGATTCAATTGCAAACGCGACTTTGCGCGTTCGCTGGAGTGGCTTACGTGCCGTTTTGCCGAGGTCCGGCTCTGCCAGGTCTCTCATACACTTTACGAGTACTTGTGCATTAAAGTTCTTTGATCGTTTTTGGTTTTGGTTCTGCTGTCAAGGTCACTGAGCAAATGGGTTAGGGTTGCAGGAAACGCTCTGGGACAGAGCGTCCGACTCAGAGTCGTAGCCAGAGTCGGTTTGTTGAACCTGACTAATTGCCGGAAGCCCAATGCACTTTGCAATTAAACACTTTTCATTAATTGTTCAAGCCAAGAAGAAAATAAAGACAAGAAATAGCAGTGGCTAGTAGCACAGAGCCGAAACACGTTTCATTTACAGCGGCAGCATTTCAAATTTGTCTAATTAAAACCGCATAAAACCGAAAATACCGAAAGACCCAAACCCAAAATAAAAGCCAAGGTTAGGCGGTGGTGCGCGCAGTTGGCTTTGACAGTAGCCAAAGGAATTAACTAGAACATGTCTATGGCGGCGCCAGATTTGTGTGTGGTATTTTTTTTTGTTGGCTTTGGCTAATCGAAAATCAAAGTCAATGACTTACAGCGTGCATGGCCAAATGTTTGCTTTGGGTTTATGGATTCTTGTTGGATTTTGGCTTTGGCTTTGGGTTTGTTTGGTGTTTTTTTGTTTTTTTTTGGCATTCTCGTGCCCAATTAGTTGCAACTACAAACTTGAGTCTTGAACTTTTCAAAAAGAACACTAACTAACATACTTAGCTGCCACGCCAGTCTCGGCTCAAAGGTGCTACTGGTTGCCACTGGTAATCGCTTATCTCTTTGAATGCCACGGGGAAACTGGAGGTGTGAATTTAATATTTTTGTTTTTTTTGCAGCCAAACCGTTAGCCAGCCCACGGCACACTGCACACTACGAGGCGCACCTGTTGGCCAATTCTAATTTAAATGATCGTGTATTAGTAACTGCAATAGCTCTGGCTCTAATTAGAGTACGGACAGGTTTGCAGGTTCCCCCCATATATCAGAGATATCAGCTATCAGCTAGGGCTGCTGCAGGGGTGTGTGTTTGTCCAGGGGTTTGTGCTAGACTCATTTGCATTGTGAGCCACAACAGCTGGCCTCATGAATATGCACTTGGCACTGGAGTGGTGGGCGTGAGAGATCTATCCATGAACACACCGGCAATAGATTTAGACATTAATTATGCATAAATTAAAAGAGGAAATCCGTGGAATCTGACCCACTTTCAGTGCATGAAGGATGCTCCCGAGCATCTCCAAACTTCCATTGAATCCTACAATCGACCTTCAGGGGCAATCGTAGAGCATGCAAAGCTTCTCCTGCTGCCAGCAGCACACTTAATGTCGTACGATCCATAATTAAAAGTTATTACAGCACCAATTGAGCAGACAATTACGCCAGGAACAGCTGCAACAGAGACTGGCTAAACAGTTCAAACAACTCGGAATTCGAGACATGGAAACGACACCTGGCCCAGATAAGTGCCAGCAGTAGACAGCAGCCAAGGGCCGCCAGGCTATAGCATGTTAGATAGATAGACCACTTTCGATAATAAATTAAAATTAGAATTTTAAATGCAATGGCTAATTAAAAAATAATGAAAATACTTGGGCGAAAACCTGTGAGATTTCATGCCCTCAAGCTGTTGATGTGACCGTCAATGTTGTTAGACAATTGCAAGAAAATTGTGCATATAATTTCCCATTAGTAGCCAGTCAGCCGGCCAGTTAGCCAGCCAGCCATCGGGTCTGCCCGATGACGTTGTTATCGCTGCCAGGTGGCTTGTCTCGGCCCGTCCACTAGGGCGTATGAGCGATAATGATTGCACACTGCCCCGCACGGCATGGCACGCGATTCATTCCGATTTGAGAGTTAATTTGGTATCGCCATTCATGGCTATGTGGAGCGTCTGCCAATGTCAATATTTCGGTTTTAGTTGGTCAAATACAACGGGGCAACAGTCGCGAAGACAGAAAAGAGAGCTGACGCAATGTCAACAGCGTCCACTGTGAGATGATTTCGCTGTTTGTCGCTGGTGTAGGTACAGCTCCAAGCAGATGATGAGTCGAGCCTAGAGCCAAAAAGTTTTAAGTAGATTTACACGCTTCACTGGCCCACTTGTTGACTCTGGCTAATTAAAAGTCGTGCCACACGCGCCATCGTGCCGGAAGTTTTCCCAGGCAGATAGAGAGACAAAGGTTGGTCCGTCACTTGGACCGGGAATCACATTCCATCTGATAAAGATTTTGCGCTAATTTGTTGGGTGTTTTATTGGCTAACGATTAGGCGTTAATTTGTTGAAAGAAGAGCACGCGTGAGTCACTTGCGAGGATTTGCAAGAAACTTGGAGATTTATCCAAGTAGCGAGTGCCACAAAGGCACTATTCAGAAGGGTGCTGAAATTATAGGGTACAGAATCACTTCCCGAACTCTCAGAAGTGCGGGGCAGGCTTTGTCTAACTTTTCTTTTGATTCGACAAACAGCAAAAGAAGAGCAAACAAATATTAAATCAACCCGATTGAGTACACAAACTCAAGTAACTCAAGATGTCCGAACGGTACAACTTCACGGATCACTTCAACAGCTACACAATACGCGGACGTGCTAACGTGAGTACTCCCAGTCCCCTCCCACTCAAAGGGTTTTTCCCTGATCTGGGTTATCCTCTGCACAGGTTGCCAAGGCCACGCTGGCCGCTCTGGGTATCGCCTATGTTGCGCTGAAGATGAAACAGGCTTCGGTGAAGCGTCGCGAAGCTCAGCTCTACTGCAAGGGCTGTCAGAAGGTTCTTCTTCGTAATTAAAAAGAAGGAGGAGGAGGAGTGGTGGATCAGGGGGAGCCGTTGGACCGGGAGTCAATTATTGTAGGATATTTCAGATCTTAAAATAACGGAAATGTTGAATGTTCTGCAGCAGTGCTGTATATCGCCTCTGTAACATTTTTACACGTATTTTACCTAACCTCTGCATACATTTCTCGAATGAACTTTACATGTGCTTTCGCTGAAAGCGCTTTATGTATATCGCGCAGCTTTGGTCATTTGGTTTTCAGTACAGACAAACGCTGACTGCCATGAAACAACACAAATAAACAGCTGTGCGCCGTAAAATTAATTTCTCGTACTCTTAAGTAGATCATCGAATTAGGAAATTGTTTGAAATCTCAGGCAATCAATGCCTCTTTTATCTTGTGCAAAATTGATTGACAAATTGAATAAAATTATAGTTTCAGGCCTGAAAGTCCTAGTTAGCTGGTAGCATTTAAAAGAATATAAAAATCGAGGAAAATGATTTGCGACTTGGTATGTTTGCAGTATCTTGAAAATCTTATTTCGGTATATTTCTGGGGTATTTTTGTGCGGTATATCATGGTGTGTTTGGACACGAGGTGCATTTTACCTTACAAACCTGAATTTGCACGGACGTTTTGCCTGTTTTCGCCACCTTTCTTTTATACACCAACTTATGTTTACTTTTTTTCTATATTTATTAGATATACAAAAATAGTCGCTAAATTTATAAGCTATCTCCACGAATTTAGCAGTTCAGTGTCAGTCTTTTGGCAAATTGCTGTCGCTCTTCCCCCGGCTGTAGGGTCGGGCGCCGCCGAGCATGCGCTCCAGAAGACTCTGCTTGGACTTGCGCTTGGAGGCGAGCACCTCCTTGCAGAGTTCGTTGAAGATTTCGGCCACCTGATCGACATGATCGGCGGCGGAGACTTCGCTGAATTTGCACTCAAAGTCTTTGGCGAGAATCTCGCCCTCATCGCGACTCACTTGCCGCAGATGCACCATGTCCACCTTGTTGGCGCACAGCTGAACGGGCGTGTCCGACTGCAGATCCGACTTGGCACGGCGTATATAATTGAAGCTCTTGCGATCCGTGATGGAGTAGACGAGGAGCAAACCATCTGCCCACTGCACCAGCTCCGCGGCATTGGGAAACTCATCATCGGCCTGGGAGGGACAAGCAGGTGAGTGGAAAACATTCTTATTTGGTGGCTAAAAACTCACCTTGGGACATGTGTCGAGTATTTCGAAGAGCACCGGCTCACCGTCAACCATGGCCTCGTGCTTGTAGCGATTCTCCGTCTGATGATCGTACTCCCCTATGTAACGCTTCGTTAGAAAGCGCACAATTAGAGCTGCAATCAAATACGAAAAAGCACAAACCATTTACGTAACATGAATTTAATTTTGAGTCGCTTTATCATTCGCGCAGATCAGGTGTAAACCAGGGTAACGCCCTGCTGCCCCGAGACACCCTCGCGCTTGTGCCTAGGATTTGGGTCAGCACTTAAGCGAGCGTGAAGTGGAAGCACAGTCCAAATGGACTGCACGGGGACAGGACAACTGCAGGTGGAATACTCGCTTGTATGCCCCTTGTGGGGTTAATAAACCCGCAGCCGCGGCAAACACCACTGCAAAACAACAAAAAGTACTGAGCCCTAATGTTGCGTGTCGCGTGGACGTTGAAGTAGGCTTTAGACGGGTGGGGGAGGGTGTTTGCCCTGTGCCCGGTGCTAGGGCCTGCCTGGTCTTTGGTCATTTCCTATGCAAGTGCTTTGAACTCGGAACTAAAAAACGGTCGAGCTGTCGAGCCGCTGGGCACCCAAACCTCAGGCGCCACTTCTAGCAAAGGCTCACGATGACAGAGTGCTGGATGTGTGTATTTTGGTGTCGGCTAAGGGGCGCCTGGGTTGCCTTGGCTGCTTTGCGACTTTTTTTTTTAACGACATTTTCATCATTTATTTTCCCAACACCACATACTCGGCCAACGACTGCTTTTAATTTATGTTTTCCGAATTTTTCTCACTTTTTATTTTCCACGAGGTCAACGTTTAAATTTTTCGACACACGACGCAAAAATGGCAAATGGCTGGCTGGGTGGCTGCTGGCTCTGTCTTCTGCTGGGCACTGATCGTGTTTATGCGTGCACGGGGAATTTTTCGGGGGGCAATGGGTGTATATTTGTGGGCGTTTTAATTGCCACCCCCGCCGACAAATACTACCCATACACACTTCCATAGACATTAAATATTTGTGAGATTCTGGCGGCATGATATTAAAAACTGTGGTTATAAATTTATTAAGAATTTGTTCTTAAATTCTATTTTATTGCCAAGAACTTTTGGCCAAATTTAATTGGAGAAAATGGCTAAAAGGGAAGGTGATAATAGGGAGTAAGAGTGGGAAATCTGCTAAGAAAAACTGACTCCAGCAAGTATTTCCATGACACTTTGATGGCTGGTCATTGCTGCACTCTAACTCATCTTTCATTCAAACTTTTCATTTTGAAATGGGAGCCCATCACTTGCGAGTGTCAGACCTCATCCATAACTCAGCCCAGCCAGATGCGTAGCTCATTCATCTGTCATCTATGTATGCCCCCGCCCAGACATCAACTTGCTGCATGCCACGCTGTCTCGTTTGCTGTCTTTTCCTTTTTGCCTTTGCACATTATATTTATTAGTGAGGCATTTTTTCTAGTCATAATTCAGGCGGCTCCACTGTCCACGATCTGCTGCCAGTCTCTGGCTTTTTTTTTTGCACTCGGAATTATGCGGCAGGCGGCAACATATCGCACGCAGGTGTAACCCGAAGTTGACAGCCGGATTGCATGGCGGAGGAATAAATTTACACGCGGGGATCATGGGTGCCTAACAAAATGTTACAAATTAAAATTATTTCGATGCTTTTGGAATGGCCAGACGTGACGGCTGACACGGGGAACATTAATTTCAAGCTAAGTCGCCCGCAACGAAGAAATATGCAACGTCTCGTTGCCAATGATCCATGCCCCCCGAAGCATCATTCCGATCTCTGTTCGACGATGTGCTCATTTGGGGCTCATCATAAATTAGGGCATGGCTCTGGTCCGAGGCAGAAGGCAAAGGCGCAGCATTGCTTGTCAAATCAAACGGTGGAAAAGCGATTAAAGCGGCAAGGCAATGGCCAAAGTGCCAGGCCAGATACATTTGTAGTGGCATCCACAATCACACACACACACACACACACACAGCAGATACATGTCTGTGAGTGTCTGCATGTGTGCTGCCACTTTATAAACAAAACAAACAACAGTCTAAATATACACGATTCAGCGATTGCTCAACTAATTTGCTGTTGTTGCTCGGCATCCATGCCACAAGTATCTATCGGATGTGTGTGTCTGGTCTGCCGAAGTACTACTTGCAACTGTTTCTTACCGCTCTTTCCAACACTGGGTGCCCCAATCACGGCTATCTTCAACTCCGTCAGCGTCGACTTCTTACGGCGTATGCCACGCGTCGTCATCTTTAGCTCACTGTTTGAGTTCCTTCCCCGTTGATGTTTGTGTTCTCTCTCAGGTGTATCTCGTATCCGTTGTGTCTGTGTTGCTCCGTTTTAATTATCCTATTTTAATGGTTATTTCATTTCAATGTCAAAACAAGCGCATGAAATGCGTTTAAAATTACAGCACACCGTCTCGCGCATCCGTCAGATACCTTCATTTGGTTTTTTTGTTTTTTTTTATTTTCCTCGTTCTTTTGCTTTCACCCTGACACGATATTGGAAAATTAATGAGTCTTTTGCTTCAGGTTATTTTCAAAATAATTTTGTTAATTTTTGTCTTATCTTTTTTGGGCATTTTTCATTATGGGATACAGGAATCTGTTTGTGAATCTGTTTGCGAATCGGAATCAGAATCGGAATCTGAAACGCGCACTGCACTCTTTGCCATGTGTTGTGATGGTACGTTGCCACCGAAAATTCATTTATTTATTTATTTTAACCATTCAATTTTTGCGTATTTTGCCAGCCAGTGATCCACATCTGATCTGATCTGTTGGAGTATGTCTTTCCTGCCTTTCTTTTAATGGCTGTCTGCTTACACTCGCTCTACTCTCTCGGATTTTCCACCGATCCACCGATGCGATTTGTGCGGCCAATGAATTTCTACTGAAAGGCCGAATCTGTGCTACGGCGGACTGCCGATCCGTACGCAAACGCTGCTGTTGCCTCTCTGCTCGCTACGGTGTCTTCTGCTTTTCGCGATCGAGAGCGAGCGCAACTAACCAAAAATAGCAACCACAGAGAGACCGACCACTGCCTCGGGAGAAGTCCCAGCAGTCCCAAGAGAAACCATTCCCATGCCACGTGCCCAGCAATGGGTTAAAGTTAAAGTTCCATTGGGGCATTGGGCTAATCGGTGGCATCTGAAATAGACATTTAGAGAGCATCATCAATATCGGAATATATGTGTATGTAGCTAATGCCTACAGAGAGCCAAATGCATCATTGTATGTACGTCTGTCGCCTTAAATTAAACTTAAAGCAGGAACGGCAACTGTTTCTGTTTCCTTCTCCCTTGGGTTGGAACTCTCCTAAAAACCCCTTCTAATAGGCAGCTGTTTTGTGGTAGCTGCACTTGCACCTGGAGGGCCTCAAACTATTAAGCGTTGTCCCCCGTACAGCGCCATGACAATTAAAATCTTTTCCCATGAAACTAATATTTATATTTAGTTAACTTTCCCTCCCTTTTTTTGCTGTCCCTCGTGTAAACATTAAATTACAGACCTTTTAGTTATGCATATTAGGTCAATATTTTCGAGTTCATTAGGGGAAATTGTATATTTTATTGCATCAATCATATGCAATATGCAAACGACAGTAGCCAGACGACACACACAGACACACACCTCCCCCGATACAACAGTTGCACGTGTGTCTCTATCCCTATTGTGTCCCACTGGGAAACCAGTGAAGCCAGTGGGGGTGTCTGTTGTGCCTGTGCAAATGTGTCCTGGTGCTGAGTGTCTGTTCATAAGGGTTGAAAATTTCCAGACGGCAATAAGTGAAATCCATCCACTTCGACTGGAAGGTACCCTGGCTATGATTTTTCAAGGAGTGCTATCATATATTATTAGTGAAAAATTCATGAAAATATTATACTGATAGCATGCTGTATCAAATTATTTAGGAGTGCACAAATCAGAGGATTTTCTCTAGTTTTTGGAATGATCAAATCTCAAGAAAGATCATGGCGAAATCTACAGATATTTTATTACCATTAAGGATGAATAAATGGAATCAAATGCGCTTCTCTCTACTGTTAAAATCTTTTGCACACATCTAATCTACTCTTCCGTTGAACACACTTTTCTCTGCATCCAATATACCCTTTTGGCCCACAAATACCTTGTTAATAAAACACAGACACACACACACACACACACGGAAAACGCCTGAAAGGCCGCTTTCCGGAAAATCTTGGCAAATACTAGCAGCGAGAGTGGCTGCTTGGAAAAAAGCATAGCATAAGTAATACGCGTCCATTTTGTGCCGGCAGCTAAAAGTATTCGATGAATTGCACAAGACAAAGCCACAACAAACAGCTGGCTGGCAGTCAGAGCAAGTCGCTAGCCATCAGTCGCAGTCTTGCTTGCCTTCGCTTGTTCGTTATTCGTTTTTCGACCGGCGACGTGTTTGGACGTGTTCGTGTGCACGAGCGCGAAACTTAAATCGGAATTCGGAGTCGGAGTTCGTAGTCGAGTCGTGGTCTTCGCAAGCACCCACGCCGAAGCAGCGTCTCTTCTTGGCTTCTTGGTGCCGCCAAAAAAAGAAAACATAAATAAAATTAAGAAAATAAAAACGCGAAGAAACGTTTTTATTTGAAGCAGCCGCGCTACGCGCGCTTTTCGGTGTGTGTTTCCCTCTGCCACTTTATATTTGATATTTTTGTACGATACTTGTGCCTGTGTGTGTCTTTTCACTATAGTTTTTCAATTCGAAAACTTATTTTCGTAGTCTTTGCTTTTAGAGATTTTTGCTCAATGCTGCCCCTCAGTTCGTGTTGAATTAAAAATATTTTCCTTTAATTTCAAAATAAGAGAATTACGAGTATAAATAAAATCCAACGACAGGAACAAGTGCGCGTGTGTGTTTGTGTGTGTTGTGTGTGTGTATGGTTGAGTGGTGCGCTGTGGTTAATGGAGAACGAATGTACTCAAATAGCAAATAAAAAGTCGAACGAAGAACGTAGAAACGACTTGATTGGCGATTAGCTGAATAATTAGCCTAAGGAATTAGCTGCAATGACGGAAAAATGAAACAAAAGCGAATGTTTATGGCAAATAAAGACGTAAAATTGTACTTTGGCAATGTATTCAAAATATTTACCATATTTATTCAGAAACTATTCGCGATTTCCTAATTGAATGGAAATGCTGTGAATATTCATTTAATTGTACATATGTGCTTTATTTCTTAATGCTTATGGAATAATTAGCATTTGTTATTTATGATCTATGAATTGGAAATTCTTGAAGAGAGATTTTTATGACAAAGTTTTCTGTTACTTGTTAATTTTTGGATTTACTACTAGTATCCACTCAAGTAATCTTGCTCTCTTTCTTTAGACCATTCGTGCATCTAACTCCTCCTCAATCATTTTAAAAACAAATACAAAAACTCAATAAGAAATCTATTTCTTTTTTTGTGTATTTGCTTAGCCATGAGCTTAGATTCTTACATTGCTCTATACCTGATTATCCTATAAACATTCTTTTTGGCTGCCTTCTTTAAGGCTTTCTCACCATCAATCATATAAGTACATATAAACAGTCCACACAATCAAAGCCACTCACAAACAAAAATTGTGATGTCATCAGGCTTGTTGGCGGCTTCTGCGGTCATCATTGGCAGCTAAAGAAACGAAATTAAAAGCGAAAATGATGTGACTTGCTGAACAAGAAAAGGTCTCGACAGCCATCCACTGACTTACTTCCAACTTCGTTTTGGAAGCGACTTGCTCCCCGACTTCCTCTTCGGTGACTTGCTCCTCGCATTGCTCCCTCTTCGACTTGCTCCTCGACTCCTACTTGGACTCGTTTTGCCTTCGGTTAAACTACGAACGAATCTCCGTTTCACATGTTGCATTTGCTTTGAAGGATATCCGTCAGCAGGCGCTCAGCAAATGAAATCATCAACAGAAAATAAAACCAACAGAACAGAAAATCAATGAAATTCTAGGGACATGCCACGTACTTTGTACTTGTAGTTTTTTGGGTTGTCGCAATGCAATTCTCGTGGCGACTCTGCGACGCTCAGACTCCCTGGCGACTTGGCCATGGCACATTTACGCGTATATTATAGTGAAGAGAAAATTGCTTAATGCACTTTACCCACTCTACCGCTGCCATCTGCATTGTTGTCCTTTTGTTCTTTACCCCACACTTTGTCCAGTCGGGTAATTTAATCAGCCAAACGCTCAATTGACGCCAGGATAGCGGGCACATAGTCGTAGCCTTGGTAACTAAATTGCTCACAAACCGCGAGGCCGTGAGCCCTGCGTGTGACCACGCAGCCGCCCTCTAATCGTAGCATTGCAGCAGAATGACAGGTCCCCACCCCACCATAGGGGTGGCAATTACAATTTGTTGTTATTTTTATTGACAGTTTTATTTTCTGCCCATGACGTCGTTGTCGTCGGTCGTCGGTCGTTGTTGTTGCAACTGTTGCATGGGCTACCGTGCACCGCACATTGTTGCCAATGTGCATTTCCATTCGCATACTTTTTTTTTGTCGTTTACGAGCTATTCGGAACGTGAAGACGAGCCCCTTATGTGCTTTCCTTTTATGGGAATGACCCAATACATAGTTGCTAAATAGGTTTATGGGCTGCCGAGACAATAAATCGTAGAGCAATTTATTACAGATGCATTAAAGGTTTCTTGACAAACCATATGGATTTTGTTTGCTTTAATTAAAGGATATCCAAATGGTTTACAAAGGAAAATAATATTCCCAAATTAAAGTATCGTATTGCATTGACAATAATGAAATATGAGCCAAACCGAAATTAGATAAAGAACTACTCAACGCCAGCTACCCTCCGGTGACCCATAAAATTCTTAGCTGGCATATTTCAGGATCAATTCATAAATAAATTAAGCAATTTATCAGTAACCCAAAAGGCAGCAGCAGCAGCAGCAGCGGCAGCCATAAAGTAACCAAAAATATGAAGAAATTATGCCTGCCCCGTGTAAGATTTTGTGTAAGGCATGCCGATGGGGTGGTAGGCAGGGAATGCCGGCACATAAAACAGGAACCACCCTTTACGGGATGGTACAATAAACTGGGAAATCGGAATTAAAACACGCCAGGCGTTGCCATCAATCAAGCCCAAAGTGAAATCCACGCAAAAGAGGGCCAAGACAAGCGGTAGAAAAGCAACCCCCGAAAAGGTAGAGTGTGTCAGGGAACCACCCTTACAATAGGACATAGAGCTACAATAGATAACCACCCCAAGTCAAAGCCAAGAATAAGCAAAGGAACTTCAAGACATCTAAGGTGGAAGAATAAACGTTAGGAATGGTTTTTGCTGACTTACTTTTTCTGATATACACAAAAAAACACACCCGCAACCATCTGCTGTGTGTGAACTTGAATTTCGCAGAAAGCAAAGCAAAGCAAAGCAAGAGTACGATCTGTGCAGACTGACAGAAACCCGACAAACAACTTTAGAGTCTTACCTTACCCGTAAAACCGGCGGACAAGACACATTCTAATGGCAAACAATGGAGTCCCACAAACAGAGAGCAGCAGAGCGGGGAGGGAGGGACAGACAGCGGAAGAAAGGTCCAACAAATATAAGTATATAAATATAAAGCGTATATATGGGCTTATGTGTATTTGTATAATTTGAAACACAAAACTCGAAACAAGCTTTAGATATGAGGCATTCGAGTGTGTCCGTTCGGCCGCCAGCACATATATGACATCATTCGGCGTCATCAACACAGATAACCTCATCATGATCTCGCT